TAACAAAGAAATTGGCCCATGCCTCCTGGATTAAATTCCAAGATATCATCTAATGCTCTACATGTGATCACGTGGAATAAAATTTCAGTGGAACCTTTCTTTCACACACACACAAAAAATCAGTTGTTTCTTTTAGCAGAAGTCTCCTGTCCTCAACTTTACCAGCTTCCGTCACCCTAGCAACATAGATAAGGATATTGGACCAAAATCCAACAGCCCTACTTACAGAAATGCGCTGACAGGGGATCCCACTCCCCTGTCCCATGGGATCTGCCTTAGTCCCTCTGTCAGATCAAGAATAATAAGGATGTCCTGTCCATTGTCCCCACCCAGCCTTAAGGTGCTACAGAAGGAAAGGCGTACATTCCATGTCCAAGATTTGCCATTGTTAATCTGTTAGTAGGGAGTTACAGATGCCAATTTAAGATGAGTGGGTGCGATGACCTGTTTCTGACTCAGGGCAAGACCATCATTGCCTCAAGGTCAGGTCGTAGTTAACCACAGTAAGTCCCAAATGTACGTGCTTCAGGGCACTGAGACACTGAAACACTGCTTGATTGCCTATGTAGAACACCCTATGAAAATAACCACCTTTAGAATGCCTCCGTGCAGGCCAAATGGTTCACACTCACAGTTCTAAAAATTGGGAGGTAGAGGCAGAAACACTATGAGTTCAAGGCCAATCTTGTCTGTATAACAAATCTGAGGCTGGCTACTTGAGATCCTCTCTCAATCCTTATTAAAACTGGGTGATAGCATGAGTTCAGAGGATTACAGGAACTCAGAAGAAAATATGGGGGTCATTGGAGAATTGAAGGCAATTAAAATAATAGTTGAGGTAGAGAAAACTCAAGAGTCAGTAATGAGAAGAAAGATCCTAAGATTTAGTCTTGAGCAACTCTAGCATTTCCTGGGCAGGGAAAGGGACCCATCAGGAAGACAGTTGAGCTGCAGGAGAATTAGGAAATGCCTGTCTGTTTAGTTAATGCTTACAATAGCACATTAGCAGTAGGGATGCAGAGTAGGGGCCAAGAATATTCACTCACATGTGTGTGTGTGTGTGTGTGTGTGTGTGTGTGTGTGTGTGTGTGTGTTTGCATATGAAGATATACATTGTACTATCCTGTTTTCTGTTCCTATATGTGATGGTGGTCTCATGAGATTACAATGGACCTGAATATTTTCTACCCCTTAGTTATGGAGCTTTTTGTTTTGTTTTGTTTTGTTTTGAGACAGGGTTTTTCTGTGTAGCGTTGGTGCCTGTCCTGGAACTCACTCTATAGCCCAGGCTGGCCTTGAACTCACAGAGATCTGCCTGGCTCTGCCTCCCAAGTGCTGGGATCAAAGGCGTGCACCACCACTGCCCAGCCAGTTATGGAGCTTTTATAAAACTGTAGCACATTATTCATATTTTTGTGGTAGGGACATCTTTGTGTTTCTACTCATACAAAAGTATGGCATGTACAAGTACAGTGTGTTCTACTGTTTAAATAAAGGAATAACACATTTCTCAGAAATGCATGCCTGTCATTAAGCAAAGCATGACCGTATTTGGTCCTTATCTTTGTCCTGATCGTACTATATCAGAAAAAGAGATGAATACATTTGTGTCAGAATTTACTGAGTAACAATGAACTTACAGCATATAACAGTTTTATTGGCACTGATTTGCCAGGAAGTCCCAGTTTCTTTGGTAGCCAGATGAGGTTGACACAGCCCTTGTATATCAATCTCCGTGTGTGTGTGTGTGTGTGTGTGTGTGTGTGTGTGTGTGTGTGTGTGGTGGTTGGTGTTGGTGTTGGTGTTGTGGTGTTGTGTGTGTTACATTGTGTTCAGACCAGAGGTCAAATTCAGGCATCTTCCTCTATCACTCTCCATTATTTATTATTTTTATTATTTATTTATTTATTGTAAATGCTAGAGCTCCAGGTTTCACTAGCCTGCCCTTCTTTTGTTTCTAATCCTGTAACACCCTCGGAGTCTAAAGCAATATATAATTCTTTTCACAGCTCAGTGTCTACTCTCTATCCCACTAAGAAGCACTGCAAACCAAATGATGTTCTCTGGTTTATTTTAAAAGCGTTAAACGCAATACGATTTCAAGTACCTGCGGGGGAAGTGGGTCTTTTGGGGACAGTATCGGCTGGCCTCACCACTATTCACACAAATGCAATTACATGGCTCTCCACATCCAAGACTTCATATAACTGGTGAACCCAGGGCCCTTTGCGGGGTGCCTCCACTGCAGCTGCGCACTAGAGCGGCAGATCCAGTCAACTTCAAATCCCAGAATCCCTGGGTCCCGGAGTGGACTACATTTCCCAGAGGCCTGCAAGTCCGCCATCCTCGGAGCCCCCCACCCCACTCCTGCCAGCCCCGCCTCCCCTGTGAGCTTCAGCCGGCTGCAGGGCGTCTGTTGCTCTGTTCGCGGCTCGGGGCCGAGCTCCCCGGGCTGAGTCTCCACGCGTGGTGGCTCGGAGCCCTTCATGAGGTGTAGCGGGAGCCAGAGGGAGGTGAGCGGCTTGGCCAGATTGGAGGACGTGGAGGCCTATGGCGGCCCCAGCCTGGGCCGTCCTGAGCCATTGGTCCCCTTTCTGGAGTTTTCTCTGGGGATCTGCAAATTGACCCCTTGACAGCAACTGCGCATTTGGGTGGGGAGCACGTGGAATGGAGGAACGCCGTCCTGGACCCGTGTCAGATCTGAGCAGGTGGCAACGGGTGCGCCCCCACTGTGGCCGCACTCTGGCCTCAGTTTCCTGATCTGAAGGGTCCGGGCAGTGCCCGCTGAGCTGTGGTGAACAGTGTAGGGTGATGGCACGTGGGGACGCAGTGAGTCCCCTCTGTGATGGAGTCCAGTGTCGCCTGAGTCTTCCCTGATGTCCATCCCCAGCTCCTGATGCTTCTGTCTCTGGAGGCAGGAGAGCCAGGCTCAGCTGATGCTGATGGGACGCATTCGGAGATGGCGCTTCTGAGGGATGTGAAGCAGTCCTACTTTTCTCTTCCCTCAGATCACTTTCTGGAGACTGTACCCATCCTTGAGAAAAGCCCAGAAAGAGAACATGGCTCCAGAGCAAAGGGAAGGGAGGTCTCAGGTGAGCGCGCTGCCATCTCAGTTCTTAGCAGAAGATGGGTTTTGTATGGCTTTGCTTTTCCTTCCTGACTGAAGTCCTGCACCCAGTACACCCTTCACCAGGATTTGGTGCCCGTGGAGGAGCTGGTCCTTCCTCATGGGTTGTTTGTAGGGGGCACACTCCATGCTCACAGTTATCTAGCCTCATTGTTGGCCGATCCCAGTCTGCTGTGTACTTACTAAATTGACAGTGACATGCAAGGGCCCTCTTATCACTAGGGACACACCTGGGGAAAGCCTTTCTGGTATGCCTCCTTCCTTCATGCATGTTTCTCTCAGCCCTCACCAAGATTGCTCATGTGTTTCTTTTGCCCTTGAAAATGCTTATGATATTCCCCCAGCCTTCTCCAGCCCATGGTTTTTCCCTTCAGTCTTGGATCCTCAGTTTCTATTGTACCATTCTTGTGAAAACTAATCTTGACCTGCCATTGTAAGGTGCAGGGATTTAGAGAGACCCCCATCTAGACACCACACGGACAAAGTATCCCCCATACTGCAGGGGATAGCTTTGGGAGCCTGACTCTGAAAGCAGGCAGACAACTCAAGAAGCCACGAAGAGGGTTCATGGGATCTTTGGAGGAAAATCAGTGAGCACAGTGGTCGGGAAATGGGGTACTCAAGTCAGCTGAACTGTAACCCATCCCCTCTGTTACCATTTGTGGGCCTTGAGAAAGTAAGTCTAACTCTGTGCCTCAGTTCCCTCACCAATAAAAACAAAAATAACAGCTCTTGTCCTCTTCTAGGATAGGTCAGAGAATGATATAGTTCATGGAAAGTGTTTAGGTCAGGCCAGGGACATGGTAATGGCTCAGCCTTAGCTACCATGGCACCAGATAACCGATATATTAACGATACAGGTTATCGTTGGACCCATAACGGGCTGGGATCTGGGCAGCCTTTACATTTCCATCTGGTAGCTACCATGGCACCAGATAACCGCGATATTAACGATACAGGTTATCATTGGACCCATAACGGGCTGGGATCTGGGCAGCCTTTACATTTCCATCTGGGAGAGTCAAGTTTTGTTCATGTCCTAAACCTCCATCCCTGTGTGTGTCAACCCTCTCCTGCATCTCCCTCACCTTCTCCCCACGTGTCAATACTACAGTAAAAACAGAAATCCTCAGTCTCCAGAAGTTTAAGACCAAGGGAAGAACAGTAGGCTCTGTGTCCGCGTTGGAAGTCTTCAGCTATGAGTGGTGAAGCTCGTGACCACAGTGTTGGCAGCTCCTGGCTTCACATTCTTGCCTCTTGAAGTAGATGGTGTGCGGGCTTGCCAGTCTAGCTATGCAGCTTTTTGCAATGTTGAAATTATTTTATGCATGTTCCTGTGTGCTGATTAGATCAGAAATTCTTTAAAAGAAAAGATCATCTTTTGTATTCTCTCCCCATAAATTATTTTTCCTATATAGGCACTGCATACATGTGAAAATTAAGAGTAAAGAATCTTGCTGAGTGTGGTGGCCCACACCTTTAATCCCAGCACTCAGGAGGCAGAGGCAGGCGGATCTCTGTGAGTTTGAGGCCAGCCTGGTCGACAGAGTGAGTTCAGGACAGCCAGAGCTGTTTAGACCCTATCTCTAAAACAAAATAAAAAACTCAAAAGAATCTTTATCAGAAAGACTTCTGATTACCATGATGTGCAATAATGGCCATAATCCCTGTACACAAAGCCAGGCTCCTACTCAGTGCTGCTCTGTGTATTTGTCACTGGTTGAGTTGATCATTAAATGGATGACCTGGCCCCTTGAGAACCTTCGGTGACATCAGCAGCATTTCGTGATGGCCTGTCCACTTTCCACACTGTCACCTCCCTCATGATACATGAGGCTGGTCCTGGGAGAGATGGAATGGCTTTTCCTCACAGGTGTCCGTGACGTTTGAGGATGTGGCTGTGCTCTTTACTCGGGATGAGTGGAAGAAGCTGGATCACTCTCAGAGAAGCCTGTACCGCGAGGTGATGCTGGAGAACTACAGCAACCTGGCCTCACTGGGTAAGGGAGTTCCCTGTGGGCGTAGATTCAGAAACGAGACCTTAGCCCCTCCTTCCCTGAATGACAGCTGCGGTCGTTAAAACACCCTCACTGGGTTTTGCTGTAGGACTGTACAAATCAGATCTGTAAATACTGAAACTGTTTTCCACTTGCAGCTGTTTAGGTGAGACCAAAGGGAGTTGATGCTCATACCATCTCCCACTGTCTGTAGTTTGACAGTAGAAATTCTTCCAGTGTTTCAGAAGCTGCATTCTCGTACTGTATTTATTCTGCATTGCCTGTAAACAAAGACTTCCCTCAACCCTCCTTTCCTACAGATTTCTTGCCTCTCCCACTTCTCTTTTGCAGTCAGGTAAATGCTGTATACTCTGTCCTTGAAAAGGAATCAAATACTGTTTTCTTGCTTTAAACAGGCTACCTGACACCTAATCTTTTCCACAGATACCTGCTTATATGTTTTTATTCCATCTGTACACTCAATGTTCCTTTTCTATAGCTGCCTGCCTTTCGTGTTTCCATAATGTACAATTAGATCCACCAGTCATGTCCTATGAGCCCCCTGCCTCTGCTTAACACATCCCATCAGATGACAGGGAGCAGCTTAAGTGCCCTGCTGAAGCGTTCTGCACCGTCCTCTGAGCTTCCCACACAAATATGTAATGCTTGTTCCTGTTAAAACAAAACTAAGTCTTTTCATTGTTCACTTTGTTTGTGATCAGGATTTCCATTTACCAAACCAAAGATGATCTCCGTGTTGCAGCAAGGAGAAGAACCCTGGAAAGCAGAGAAAGAAAGTCATGGCGGCTCCTCTCTTGGTGAGTGGGTGGGCCTGAGAGACCCAAGAATCTCTGCAAAATAAGAGTAGAAGGCAGCCTCAGTGACTGGAGACTGCCCTAGCCCAGCAGGTTGTTCTTCAGTGGCAGGGCTGTTAAGGGGAGGGCCGAGGATGAGAAGATAAGGAAGACAGGAACACCTCTGGGTCAGGAGTGTCTGTTTACTAAGAAGTACAGCAGTATCTTAGAGTCTGTCTGTGGCGGGGAGCGGGAGAGTCAGTGGAGAGCTCTCACAGGGGACGGAGGCAGCAGGGTGGTAATCAGGCAGTGCTGCACACGGGACACAGGAGATCCTAAGGGTGTCACGGATGGAGCCCACAGCAACCTTGGGACCGACGATGATGGCTCTTTGGGGGCAAGAGTGGTATACATACTCAGGATCTGAAGCGGAGGCCCCCCCAAAGCCTCGGCCCCAGGCCGTTACTGCCTCTGCCAAGCATCTTCCGGATTTTATTCAAGGGACGATGTTCCCTCTCCGTACAGCAGGGCCTCGGAGAAAGCCTTAGATCCGCCTCTCTCTCAACAGGAGACTTGTACAGGTACTTGATCCTCAAGGACTTATGGGAAAGAGAAATCCCAGGCCCCCAGGTCCTAGCTTCCCCTCCTGTCTCTGGTCACTTTTTGAATGAGTATCGCAAGGTCTCTCGTTCTTTCCAAGGAGGCTGCACTTTATGTACAAGAAATCAGTATAGTTGAGGGTATGTTGGAAGTAATTCTTTCTGACTGTGCACAGAGTATGTATAGGAAGCGGAGACAAAGGAATGAGCTTGGAAGGCCTCACTGCATTTTGGTACGGTTTTAAGAGATTTGGACTGTCCTGTGGATAATGGGAATATCTAAGAAGTTTAAGGAGAATTTATGATCCCTGATATTTCAGTGGGGAAAACAAGGTCTGGTACAGAAATGAATGCTCGAATCAATATGTAACTCAAGAAGCCTGGATGTGTCCTCCCTCTGGCTTGCGTCACCCCACTTAGGATGAAAGAACACACTGATGTGGACAGAGCTCCAAGACATGCTGAGGGGTGAAAAGGTTACAGAGCTCTGTGAAGATGTGGCACCATCTACTTTAAAGACAATGTATTGCTTGCATGAGTGGTACCTGGATAAGCAGGGAGACGTGAGAACATGCTGTCACTGGAAACAGTAGTTTTGGAATGCACTGTAAAAAAGGGACGTGATGGCTAGTTTTTTTTCCCCCAGAGACTGTTAATGTTCATGAAGTCCTTGTGTGATTGTAGTTCAATAAGACTGGCTGTTTTGGAAGCATTAGGAGGACAGATTCGAAGTGAGGCCAAGCTAGAGGTGGGGAGCCTCCTGGAGCCACTCAGGAGACCAGCAGGGCCTGGTGGGGAAGCCCGCTTCAGGAGTCATGGAAGCGAGGCGCAGTCTGTGGGGTGAGAGTGTAGGAGTTCCGTGTGGCGTTCGGTTGAAGTACTCGGATAGTTGTTCACCCACAGGTGGGGGTGTAAGGTCAGACAGATGTGGCTGGGACCCACATGAGAGGTTAGAGCCCCACACAGACACAGGAAGGTGGTATTTGTAGCCTTGAGTTGACTGCAGAGGGCAGAGTCCCAGGAAGGCCATTGTGACGTGCTTAAGAAAGAGGAATCAGTGATGAGAGAGAAATGGAAGAGGTGGATGTTTTGGGACCTGAGAGTTGAATGAAGACCCCCGCTTGGCCCCACCATCTGGCCATGCCTTTATCTAAATAAGCGGGATTTAAGCAAGGCAGCACCAGCCAGGAGGAGACCCGGGCCTGCTCTTGCGCAGTCCAGTAGAGACAATGAGAGTGAAGACAGCAAGCACACATGGGACACAGAATGGCGGTCACACTAGACACAGGAAGTCTAGCGAGAACTAGGGAGCAAAGACACAAAGTGCTGGGAGAGTTGAGGCCGGGAGCACTGAGTTCAGGACTCCCCCGAGCACGTAGACTCTAGTCTGGGAAGTGTCAAGTGATGGTCAGGAGAAGGGAGCCAGGCTTGACCCAGGAGAAAGATAGAAGAGGCCAGGTAGAACTAGATCCTGCTGAGGCCCATCAGAGGGTTCGACCTGAGGATTTGAGTTTGGCACAGGGCTGAGGAGTCCTGAGCAGCCTGGAGCTGCCCCCCTCCCCCCCCCCATGTAGGAGAGCTTGAGGGCTAGGAGCCTGGAGTGGGGGCACTGGGGACCGTCTGAAGTTGGGTCAGGCCAGACAGTGAGGATTGGGGAAGAGCTGATACACCCTGTTCTGATAGACCCTGAATAAGACAGCCCTTCTCCTTGAGTCCAAAGTGACAGTTTCTGACTTAGAGACCATGGTTGTCTATCTTTGAAACCCTTGTTTGGAGAAATATAGTCATTCTGTGGAAACTACCAAGGCAACTTATAGAGGAAATAGTTAAATTTGGGCTTTCAGTTTCAGAGGGCTAGAGTCCATGATGGTGGCCTGGAGGTGGCAGGAGGCAGGCAGTTGGGGTAGCAGCTGAGAACTCACCTCTTAAACAGCAAGCAGGAGGCAGAGAGCACTGGAGTGGAGGGAGGCTTCTGCAGCCTCACAGCTGGCCCGTGACACGCTTATTCAACAAGTCCACACCTCCTAATGCTTCCCCAGTAGCCGCCAGCTTCCTGTTCACCTCCGTCTCCTGTTTGTCATCTCCAGGGTTCTAACACATTCCACCTCAGGGGTTCTCCTTCTTTCCCTTCTTCAAATGGTCATGGAACTGCATGGCTTGCACACCTGTGTGGATGAGTTTCTTCATAAGCAGACTCAGCCAATCTAACCCTCCTCCTAGACTTTCTGTTTTTTGGTTGTTTTGTGGTTTTGTGGTTTGGTTTTGTTTGACGATAGAGTCTCGTGTAGCCTGACTGGCTTTCAACTCCTTGGCCTCCTGCCTCTGCTTCTCAAGAGCCGGAATGAAGGGCGTGTGTCTGTCACCATGTCTGGTAACATTCTCCATACTCTATCCCCTCACCACCCTTCATTTTCTGTCCGTGTATTGTCACTGCAGGTCAGTACATTTTCATTTAAGACCTGTCCCTCCCTCTGCACTGCAAGCTCCCTGTGTGGCACTTGACTGTAATTCATTCCTGTTTTCCTAGGGCCTGAAACTGGCTGGCCAAGGTAGGCTTCCAGTTAGTTCCATGGGTGCAGGAGGGATTGTTCCAGAGGTTTGGGGGAGATAAGGCATGGAAGATAAGGATGAGAATTGAAAGGGTGCTGAGAGGTGGTGATAATCATTGGGAGGATGTATAATTTCTGCATTTTTCTGTATATTGGGAGGATGTATAATTTCTGCATTTTTGGTCTTTTTTTAAATATTCACCATTTAATTTTAAATTTAAATTTTAAAAATTAAAAATTTTTAATATTTAATATTCACCATTTTCATGTCATTGTCCATATTTTCCTTTAGTTCTTTAAACTTTTTGTAACAGTTGTTTTAAAGTCATTGTGTACCATGCCACCCACCATCTTGTCTTTAAGCAAAGATAATTTCTGCTTATTTTGTTCTTTTGTTTTCATTTTTGTTTAATTTTATTGTAGTGCTGGAGATTCAGGCCTTGCACTTGCTAGGCAGGTGCTCTACCACTGGGCTACACTTCAAGCTGTAGCTTCCTCTGAAGGAACTTATTTTCCTGTTTGTCTTATGCCTTGTGATTTTTAAAATATGTGTGTGTGCATCTATTTTTTTTCATTTTTATGTGTATGGATTTCTACCTGCAAAAATGTCTGTGCACCACACGGGTACAGTGCTCACAAAAGCCACAATAGGGTGTTAGATCCCCTGGAACTGGAGTCATAGACAGTTGTGAGCTGCCATGTGGATATTGAACTCAGAACATCTGGAAGAGCAGCCAGTGCTCAGTGGTTATTAACCCATTCTCTGGTCCCCTGACTTGTCATTTTTTTTTTTTTATTAAAATGTAAGCATCTGAATCTTCTTTTCTCAGGTCTGCTGGGGTTATGGGTGATTTTCTTTTTAGCTGTTACAAGGCACATCTGTGATAGTAATCCAACTGAGGCATAAACTGAAGACCTCATCCCTTTTCTCAGCCTGTGTCTCCCCCTTAGCACACATGGTGACTTTCTAAATCTCCCTCAACTCTCATGCATAGGGCAGTTGTCTCTTGGGTGTTCTTATCCACGAGTGTCTGGCTCTGAAAGTGAGGAAAGAGCAAGAGGTGGGGAAGGGCATTAGCCTTTACATCGCTGGGTATCCATGCCTGTGGTGGAGATGGGTGGTGTCCTGCCATCGATAGTAGCTGGTCCTTCCTGCCCTCGCTTCTTAGGGCTGCTGTAGTGATGCTAGTGGGTAGCTCCTTGGAGCTCGTTGCTGGATGGAATATACTTCAGTTTACTGTCCAGGCCTTCCTGTAGAGGCTGCATAGACTCCAGGGTTTCAAGATAGTTCAATGGACAGATTTTGTTGTCTAGTTAGGGAATTAGAATCCTGGCACTTCATACCATTAAATGTGCCATATTCCCTGGCATCCACTTTTTCTCAGATACCTCACATTCGTTTTACAGTTTGGACATTCTCTGCCTTCACATGATGTTGAAGATGAGGTCTTGCATGAAGTGACTCCTTACTGCTTTGGGAAGAAATTCTGATCCATTGCTTCCTACTCACTCAGCATTATACTCTCTATCTACATGCTTTAGAATTTACTCTTTATTTTTTTTTTTATTTATTTTTTTTTATTTTTATTTTTATTTTTTTTTTTTTTGATTTTTCGAGACAGGGTTTCTTTGTGTAGCTTTGTGCCTTTCCTGGATCTCGCTCTGTAGACCAGGCTGGCCTCGAACTCACAAAGATCCACCTGCCTCTGCCTCCCGAGTGCTGGGATTAAAGGCGTGCGCCACCACCGCCCGGCTGAATTTACTCTTTAAACATGAGTTTTATTGTTCAATGAATGTTTGTGTCTTTATTTAGGAAATGCATTTCTAAATAAGTATATATTTTTAAATATACTTTTTAAGATTTTGTCCTCTTGTGTGTGTACTTTTTAAAAGTCACTTTGAGGAACCAATTTTAAAACTGAAGCTTTCCTTAGTAGGTGTGAGCTATACAGGAAGATGAGTTCCTCCTGATGAGAGGAACACAGAAAGAGGGGTAGGACATATTCTTGCTCATTACAGTCTGTGTGGGGTGTTATGTGAGGAAAGTTTTCTTTCCTCTCAGCAAGTGGAGGCCAGGATGCTACTTAATATCCTGCAATGTAGAGGACAGTCCCATACAACAGAGAATTATCTGGCCCAGGGTGTCAGCTGCTACTAAGAAATTCTGACCTATATCCTGACTTTATTTACTGACGTAATTATATAACATTGGGTGGTTAACACTCAAGAGTAGCAGAGGTATACTCCATTTTCATTCAGCTTGTGTAAGTTTTTCCTATTTCTTGAATTCCTTATTCTTTATAAAACAATGGCTATTACTTTTGTGTGTCCATTCTATATATGCTTCTTCACTGAAGGGTTTTAAAAGATGGTATGCCATCAGCAAGTACAGGCAGTTTTTTTTTAACTCCTCTAATTTATTTGTCTGATTACAATAATTAATATTTCCTCAAAGGTGAATAGTAGGGAAAATGGACATACTTGCCTAGAGTCTCTTCATTAAATACACATAGACTCTTCATTAAATAAGGTATTAGCTTTAGGACTAAAGTAGTTTAATTTTATCATGTCATGGAGATATTCACATCTTATTTGTGCTTATTATCTGTGTGACACAGATTTTTATTGAAGGTTTTCTTGGCATCCTTAGATATATACTTTCCCCTTAAATACATATAATGTACTTGTGTACTGTATAGTGACATTTTAGTAAATGATAAGCTGCATATACAATAATGGCCCCATAAGAGTACAGTGGAGCTGAAAATGAACTGTTACCTTGTGACATTGTAGCCATTAAAAGTTAATAGAGTGCCCTGAAGAGATGGATAGGCGGTTAAGAATACTTGTTGCTCTTGCAGAGGACCTGGGTTTGTTTCCGGGCACTCACACTGTGGTTCACAATCACCATAACTATAGTTCAAGGGGTTCCAATGCCCTTTTCTGACTGTCACAGGCAATTAGCACATGTGGTATACATACATAAATACGAGCAATATACATATAAAGGAAACAGTAATTTTAAAAAAATTAAACAATAGAATGCAAGCTGGTCAAAGTGGTGTACTCCTTTAATCCTAGCACTCAAGAGGGAGAAGCATGTTGATCCCTATGAGTTCAAGGTTAGCCTGCTCTCTACATTGAGTTCCAGGCCAACCAGAGTTATACAGTGAGGCCCTGCCTCAATAATGAATAAATAAAACTTAACAGAATGTATTATTCATGTGTTTGTAACAATGCTGATGTAATCAAACCTGTACTGCTAATAGTATACAAGTATAGCACTAGAATTATATACAGTACATAATATTTGATAATAGCCATAAGTGATTCTACTTCTGGTTCATGACTACTGTGCTTTATATTTGAATACATTGTATATTTAATATATAATATTAAAATATACTTGTGCTTATGGAAAGAAAGATTAAGGAGGCTATGTTATACTAGCAGCAGCCCCATATGTCTCATGCCTACCATATCTCTTGATTGCATCAAGACACACACGTAGCACATCTAGTGGCTGATCTCTACCATCTAGATTTGTGTTAAGTATCCTCTGTGATGCTTACATAATGATGCCCTCACTTAAGGTCACATTTCTCAGAGCATATCTCTGTCATTTAATGATGCGTTGCTGTATCTTGTAATAAGTGCTATAATGAGAGGAAGAGTGTGGATTATTAATTAGACTCAGTCAGGAAAAGATGCAACAGAGGGGTTATTTGCATTGAACTGGAAGGCCACTAAGGATTCTGATATGTAGAAAAGGGGAAGTAAGATATTTTAAAAAAGAATGTCAAAAATACCCTAATTTATGAGTCCATCATAGGCTTTGGATACCAGACTGCATTTCCCAATTCATACTCTAATCCCTCTATTGGTTACTTTTAACTCTCACCTCCTTACATGAGCTTTGTTCAGTCCATTGTCTGGCTCTCATCCACTATTTTATGAAGTGCTATTTCCCATTTTCCTTCTTGTTAGTATCTTTAGGCATATAGTATTTATTTAGGTATCATTAATAGTCTTCCTATAAATTTAGCTAATCATACCCATCACTGGCAATTTTTTTTTTCTTCCAGGATGCAACAGCAGTCTTCAAACCACAAAATCAACTCAAACTAAAGATTCATCATTTCAGGGATTAATGAGGAAACAACTCAAAAGAGATGAGTCCTGGGACTTCACCTCAGGAAAATTCTGCAGAGCTGACAAGAGTTTTAAAAAGCAGGACAAAAATGAAAGCTTACAAATAATTTCAGTCACCCATACAAAAATCCTTACTGTAGATAAAAGCCGTAAGAAATTTGAATTTGGTCCAAACGTCAGCCTGAAGTCAGTTGGTAAGCAAAAGGTTTCTAGAGAAAAAACACAAAGAAATAGCCTCAAGGAAAATTCAAATTCACTTAATCAACCAAAACGCTATAAATGTAGTACTTGTGAGAAAGCTTTCATGCACAACTCATCCCTTCGAAAACATCTGAAAAACCATACTGGAGAGAGATTATTTCAATGTAAAGAATGTTTGAAAGCTTTCAGCCAAAGTTCTGCTCTTATTCAACATCAAAGAACTCATACTGGAGAGAAACCCTACATATGTAAAGAGTGTGGGAAAGCCTTCAGCCATAGCGCTTCCCTTTGTAAGCACCTAAGAACTCATACTTTGGAGAAATCTTATACATGCAAAGAATGTGGAAAATCCTTTAGCAGAAGGTCTGGCCTTTTTTTGCATCAAAAAATCCATGCCCGCGAAAATCCTCATAAATATAACCCAGGTAGGAAGGCATCCACTTCTCTTTCAGGATGTCAGAGAATTCATTCCAGAAAAAAGACCTACTTGTGTAACGAATGTGGTAACACCTTTAAGTCTAGCTCATCCCTTCGTTATCATCAGAGAATCCACACCGGAGAGAAACCTTTCAAATGCAGCGAATGTGGCAGAGCCTTCAGTCAGAGTGCATCACTTATTCAACATGAAAGAATTCACACTGGAGAAAGGCCCTACAGATGTAATGAATGTGGGAAAGGCTTCACTTCTATTTCAAGACTCAATAGACACCGAATAATTCACACTGGGGAGAAACTGTATAATTGTAATGAATGTGGCAAAGCCTTAAGTTCCCATTCAACTCTTATTATTCACGAGAGAATTCACACTGGAGAGAAACCATGTAAATGTAAAGTTTGTGGGAAAGCCTTCAGACAAAGTTCAGCTCTGATCCAACATCAGAGGATGCATACTGGAGAAAGACCTTATAAGTGTAATGAGTGTGGGAAAACATTCAGGTGTAACTCATCCCTCAGTAACCATCAGCGAATTCATACTGGAGAGAAACCTTATCGATGTATAGAATGTGGAATGTCATTTGGCCAAAGTGCAGCTCTTATTCAACATCAGAGGATTCATACAGGAGAGAAGCCCTTTAAATGTAACACTTGTGGGAAGAGTTTTAGACAAAGCTCCTCCCTTATTGCACATCAGCGAATTCATACCGGAGAGAAACCCTATGAATGTAGTGCATGTGGGAAACTCTTCAGTCAGAGATCCTCCCTTACCAATCATTATAAAATTCATATTGAAGAGGACTCTTTGAACACAGATTTGCATGAGTAAAAGCAATTAACCAAAGTTCCTCAGAGAATATATACTTCATATTGACTTAATATAGTGAATATGAAGAAACTTTCAATTTAGGCCTATGAGATTAAAATTACAAAGATAAACATTGGTTATGTAATAATAGAGAAAAATTTCCTACCTTTCAGTCACTTTTTAAGATCAGATACTTTGCAGTTGCAGATATTAACATGGGCTGTTTATATGGTAAAATGAACACTTTTATTTTGTCTGCATAATATATAATATATGCAATATATAAACACTAGAAAAGTCTGAGTTCAGGAGTGCTGTGCTTTTGTTATTAGCAAAAGGAACATCAGCTATTAGCATATTTACTATAACTAATATTTTAATAGTAAATAAATTATATGCATTTTTCAAGCAAGGGACCAAATTAAAAAAAAAAAAAAACTACCTCACAGTGTCTGAAATTTCCCTTTTCCTACGCTGTTGTCAAACTGCATGATTTTTATTAAAGAGAAAAAATTGTTCTCTTAAATTTTTGTGCTTCTAATTTTCTAACTTTCCTACAAACCTCCCACACTTAATATACATATTCTAATTTTGTGCTGTGAATTATTTTCCTTCATTGCCTTAAATCATTCATTATTAAGCCATGTTCTGAATGGTAATATTAAATACTTGTTGTAGTTATGTTGGAGCAAACAGGCTAGCTAAACTTGCCAAAATGAGCTGTGAGAGCACTATTAAGGAAGACATCTGACATGAACTGATTCCCACACGCACACTGTAAATGGAGGCTTTTCTGTCCCACCCAGTCCCGAAGCCACTTTTAAAATCACTCAGAGGCTTAATATTAATTATAAACTGTTTGTCCAATTGCTTGGGCTTATTACTAACTAGCTCTTACAACTTAAATTAACCCATTTCTTTAATCTGTATTTTGTCATGTGTCTCATGGCTTTGCCGGCGTTCTAATACATCTTGCTCCTCCAGTGGCTAGCTGGCCTCTCCTCTCAACTCCACCCTTCTTCCCCCTGTATCTCTGCCTGGATTTCCCGGCTAGCTGGCCTCTCCTCTCAACTCACCCTTCTTCCCCCTGTATCTCTGCTTGGATTTCCCAGCTAGCTGGCCTCTCCTCTCAACTCCACCCTTCTTCCCCCTGTATCTCTGCTTGGATTTCCCGCCTGGCTCTATCCTGCCTTGTTATAGGCCAAAGCAGCTTTATTAACCAATGGTAATAAAACATTCACAGTGTACAGAAAGACATCCCACAGCAGCACACCATACACATGAACCCCCAAACATACCCACCACACACATACATAGGACAAAATTACATTTTCCAGGGCTAATATATAGACATAATTGATTTTTATATATTTGTCTTATATAAGTAACCTAGTTAATTTATGTGTGCATACCAATTTCTAATAGGGTATTTGTAGATTCTTTGCATTCATAATCATGTTATCTACAAATACTATTTTTTTTCCTCTTCTAATCACTGTCTTATTTTTCTTACAGTGTGGCACTACCTAATATATCATTTTAGTTTTTCTCATCTGATCACAGTCTTTTATTTTTCTTATTTATACCACTGTACAACATGGCGCCATACAGTGAACATAATAATACTTTCCTATTTAATATATGAGCTTCAGTTTGTGGATGCTTGTTCTGAAACTGACTGAACAGCTCTTTTGCTGTGAGTTTTATCATAAAAAAGGAATAGCATTTTGTTATATACACTTTCCACATTGGCTAAACATGAGTTTTTTCTTCATTGTTTTAAGAATAACACTGTTTCTGATTCCCACCACTACCAGGGTAGTACTATAACAGCCCAGGCTGGCCTAGACATCAACTATGTAGCTATCTTCATATTTCAGCCTCCTAAGTGTTAGATTACAGGCATGCACAATTGCGCCCAGAACTGTCCTAATTTTGATGGTGTATGAATGAAATAAATCCTTATTGGCCGTGCTGTATCATAATCTGTGTGCTTGTGTTTAAGTCAGATTTCTTCCTTAGTAAGTAGAAGCCCAACTGAAGTGTGGGGCATTTACCCACCAACCCCACAGCTCCCCAGAGTTTTCTTCAGTGTGGGCAGCAGGAAATAGTAGATAGAAGGATTTATATTGCGGAGATAAACAGAAAATAAAGGATAGCTCAAGAGGGCCTGGAACCTTTTCCAATGGCCTCAACTGTCTCTGCTCCAGGGTATTTATAGAGACACCAAGGGGTGGGGCAAGAGACCTCCCCCCAGCCCAGCCAAGTGCAGACCATCTCAGACACCTACAGTCAGACCCTTGGCCCTAATCATCCTCTATGCGGACCTGCTGGGTAAAGCCACAAGGAACCTGAAAACGGGCTCCCATAGGTCCCTCTTTCTTAATATATAAAAAATAACATTATTAATGGCTTACAGCAATCTCCATAGCTGTTACACCTCCCAGTATGGGAGTAGAGGATGATAAAGATGGCATTTCTTTTTTGAATTAGGTCAAGGTGACTACAGCAGTCTTTAGCTGCATCAAGCCCTCTTTAAACCAAAAACTCTTAAGGCGACGACAAACTTAAAGAATCCCTTAGCTTCATCATTATCATTAACAGGTTAACATAAATATTGCTATACATAGTCACAATTCTCTCAATCTTACATCTCAAAGAAAACAATTCATAAAATCATATGAATTAACATATATGGTGCTATATATAGTTAATGATTTTCTCAGTCTTACAACTTTAACTCTTAATCATTTGAATTTTCTTGCTAACAGAACATAGGAAAAACTTCTGATGTATTCACATCAAACTTAAATATTTCCCTAACTCCACAAAACCAGGGTGCATTAATACCAATTGGTTAAACATAATTCAACCTTAATTCACTCATAACTCCTCCTTTTCTTTATAATTTTTTAAACAAAATCTCAAACCTAGTTAGAATAAACCCAAACTTACCCAAAAGCAGTTTCTTAATAAAACTGTTTACACTTTAAAAGTAGTCTTTAAAAATACCCCATTTGCATTTCTTACTAAAAAAAAACATGACATTAATCCACTCAACAATTTTTTAAATTAAATAGGCTAAGGAATATTAACTCTTCCTTTTCTTTATAATTTTTTAAGCAAAATCTCAAGCCTAGTTAGAAAACCCAAACTTTTCTGTTTAAACAGTTCCATTTGTAACACAAAACCAGTTCCATAAGTAATTCTATTTTTACATAAACAGTTCCATTTTTAACACAGGAAAATTCATGAATCACCAGCATATATGCATACACAAAACTACATCTTGAGTCTAGGTAGAAACAATAAGTTTCTTCATTTAAACACTTCCATTTTTAACACAATTCCAGAAAACAGTTCCATTTTTAACACAATTCCAGAAAACAGTTCCCAGGTCATTACTATAAGCAAATTCAAAGTTGTCCCATTGCAACAAAATCACTATTGTTCATTTAATTTCTTAAGTCCCAAAATCCAAATAAATTCTGGTGTCAGCCTTCCAAATTTTAAGAAATCCATAACCAAAACCTTTTAGTTTTATCTCATTTTTTTAAGTTCGAAAAGTTCAAAAAATGTAAATTCTGGTATCAGACTTTCACTTCCAAATATGAAGAGGCATTTTACAACCAAAACTTTTTGCAGTTAACAATTTTAGTTCAAACAAGCGTCTCTGCAACTTTCATTCTCAAGCCAGAGGCCTTTTTAGTTACAGTAATATTTTAAAATGCACCATTTTTGCTGTTAGCTGAGGTTTTTCTGTGTTGCATTGATTTTCCACTGATCTCAGCTGCGGATGCCTTGTGCTGGTTCTGGCGTCCACCATTCTTAGCTTCTTAGCGGCTTCTGGAGCTTTTGAAACCATTCAGACTGCCTACTTTACAGTCTACTAGGACACTACCTTCTGTGTCTCAGGTTCCTTCACCATATACATTAAGAATAGACTCACACTTAACATTTACATTTTACAAACTCACATATAACATTTTTTGCCTTGCAAAGCATTTAGACTCACATTCAACATTTACACTTTTTTACAAACTCACATATAACGTATTTACATCTACTTATTTATACTCCTTAACTATAGAAGTAGTTTAGCAAATATGTTTATTTACTTCTTATATACTTCTTATATTCATTCCATCTTCTTATTTCTTATTTAAACTTACATTTACAAGTAGTATCTTTACTTCTTACAAACTCATTACTACATATCTTAAGACTACCTTAGATACTTCTTGCAAGCTTATATTCTTAAAGGAACTCTATAGATCTATAGGGCTGCCATTAGCATATATTTAACTTAGCAAACACCTAAAGATTTCTTAACACAGATCTAACAAAACAGAATAATTTCATCTTTTTCTACTTCTTACTCTTAATTATCATCACTATCTCTATTAGAAAGATTCTCTTAACTAGACAGGAAGTACATATATCATTTCTAAAGTTTAGAGTTTATCATCAGCTTTGCTATAACAACACTGGGATTTAGTGAGTGTTGTCATAGAGTTGTGATACTTGTTGCTAGGGGACTGTAACATTCTCGGGACGAAGCCACACTCCAAAGTTGCCAAGTTCTCTCAGCCATTCCAGAACTGGCAGAGATGCACTGTCAGCAGTAAATGTTTTGTAACTGGAGGCTGTCCCTTCACCCAAATTCATAATAGCTCCCCTAAGTGCTTCAATTCAGACAAACGTTTCTATTGCAGCAGTACTTTTGGTTTGTTCTATCGAAAAACTTTATGCTGTGCGTGAAATTACCATATTTAGCTGCTGTAAAGCTCTTCGCAAAGTACTGCACAGCTATTAGGTGATATAAAGTATTTTTCTAAAGGTGCTAGTAAAACCAAAAGCAGCACAGCTCCTAACTCTATTTCCTAACTGTTTGCATTAACCAGTGACAAAACCTCAGAAATACTAATTGAGCCACTTTCATTCTGGTTCCTTTATAGGAACATCATTGGAACTGACCCTTCCTTAGTTCCAAGCTCCTTACCAGACACTCCGGTAACCACCAAGCTCCATTCTTCTCTTGTGAAAAAACACAAACATGTCCTTGACCCCAAAGTAACACAGGATCGAGACCCTTCCATAATCCCAAGCAGGGATCTTTCCATTTCATTTGAGCAAAAGTTGCTTGGATGCCACTGTGCCAAAATCTTATCTGCGGCAGATTGCTCACAGACATCATATTCAAAAAGTTCAGAACAAAAAGAGCATGATTTAATGCATTATGTGGTGACTGAGGGTAAATTTCTTCCTTTTTTATTTTTATTTTTTTAAGTTGTATTTTAAGACTGTTGTGAGCCCTTTCCACAATACCTTGTCCCTGAGGATTATAAGGAATACCTGTTTTATGTACGATTTCCCATTGGGTACAAAATTGTTGAAATGCCTTACTACTTATATCCAGAACCATTATCAGTTTTAATAATTTTTGGTATACCCATATACACAAAGCACTTCAAGCAGTGCATAATTACATGTTTTGTAGCTTCCCCAGGTTGTGCACTAGCCATT